ATATTTATTGCCCGTCGTGTTTTGAAGCAAAATCGTATACGTTTAAAAAGTAAAAGAAAATAACGGTAAATAGGGTCAAGCACGAAAAAATAATCAACGTCTCTGAAAAAGACTTGTTTTCGAACACGACACCATTATTTGATGTGGATAACATATATTTATCACCCCATCGTGTTTTGAATCAAAATCGTATACGTTTAAAAATGTCAAGGAAAATAAGGCTAAATAGGGGCAAGCACGAAAAAATAATCACCGTCCCTAGAAAGACTTTTTTTCGAGCACGACACCATTATTTGTTTGGTTAATATATATTTATCGCTCCATCGTCTTTTGAAGAAAAATGGTATACGTTTAAAAAGTCAAGGAAAATAGGGGTAAATAGGGGCAAGCACGAAAAAATAATCAACCTCTCTGGAAAGACTTGTTTTCGAACACGACACCATTATTTGATGTGGATAACATATATTTATCGCTCCATCGTGTTTTGAAGAAAAATCATATACGTTTAAAAAGTCAAGGAAAATAAGGGTAAATAGGGGCAAGCACGAAAAAATAATCACCGTCCCCAGAAAGACTTTTTTTCGAGCACGACACCATTATTTGTTTGGTTAATATATATTTATCGCTCCATCGTCTTTTGAAGAAAAATGGTATACGTTTAAAAAGTCAAGAAAAATAAGGGTAAATAGGGGAAAGCACGAAAAATTAATCAACGTCTCTAAAAAGATTTGTTTTCGAACACGACACCATTATTCGATGTGGATAAACATATATTTATTGCCCCATCGTGTCTTGAAGCAAAATCGTATACGTTTAGAAAGTCATGAAAAATAATGGTAAATAGGGGCAAGCACGAAAAAATAATCGACGTCTCCGGAAAGACTTGTTTTCGAGCACAACACCATTATTTGTTGTGGTTAACATATATTTATCTCCCCATCGTGTTTTGACGCAAAATCGTATACGTTTAAAAAAGTCAAGGAAAATAAGGGTGAATAGGGAAAAGCATGAAAAAATAATCAACGTCTCAAGTAAGACTTGTTTTCGAACACGGCAAAATTATTTGATGTGGATAAACATATATTTATCGCCTCACCGTGTTTTAAAGCAAAATCGTATACGTTTAAAAAAGTCAATGAAAATAAGGGTAAATAGGGGCAAGCACGAAAAAATAATCACCGTCTCCGGAAAGACTTGTTTTCGAGCACAACACCATTATTTGTTGTGGTTAACATATATTTATCTCCCCATCGTGTTTTGACGCAAAATCGTATACGTTTAAAAAAGTCAAGGAAAATAAGGGTAAATAGGGGCAAGCACGAAAAAATAATGAAAATCACCTAGAAGACTTGTTTTCGAACACGGCACCATAATTTGATGAGGATAACATATATTTATCACCCCGTCGTGTTTTGAATCAAAATCGTAAACATTTAAAAATGTCAAGAAAAATAAGAGTAAATATGTGCAAGCACGATAAAATAATCAACGTCTCCAATAAGACTTGTTTTCCAACAAGGCACCATTATTTGATGTGGATAAACATATATTTATCGTCCCATCGTGTTTTGAAGCAAAATCGTATACGTTTAAAAAAGTCAAGGGAAATAAGGGTAAATAGGGGCAAGCACGAAAAAATAATCACCGTCACTGGAAAGACTTGCTTTCGAGCACGACACCATTATTTTTTGTGGATAACATATATTTTTCGCTCCATCGTATTTTGACGCAAAATCGTATACGTTTAAAAAAGTCAAGGAAAATAAAGGTAAATAGGGGCAAGCACGAAAAATAATCAACGTCTCCGAAAAGACTTGTTTTCGAACACGACACCATTATTTGATGTGAATAACATATATTTATCGCCCCATCGTGTTTTGAAGCAAAATCGTAAACGTTTAAAGAGTCAAGAAAAATAAGGGTAAATAGGGGCAAGGACGAAAAAATAATCAACGTCTCTAAAAAAACTTGTTTTCGATCACGACACCATTATTTAATGTGAATAATATATATTAATCACCTCATCGTGTTTTGAATCAAAATCGTATACGTTTAAAAATGTCAAGGAAAATAAGGATAAATAGGGACAAGCACGAAAAAATAATCACCGTCTCCAGAAAGACTTTTTTTCAAACACGACACCATTATTTGATGTGGATAACATATATTTATCGCCCCATCGTGTTTTGAAGAAAAATCGTATATGTTTAAAAAGTCAAGGAAAATAAGGGTAAATAGGGGCAAGCACGAAAAAAATAATCCACGTCTCCGAAAAGACTTGTTTTCCAACACGGCACCCTTATTTGATGTGGATAACATATATTTATCGCTCCATCATGTTTTGAAGAAAAATGATATACGTTTAAAAAGTCAAGAAAAATAAGGGTAAATAGGGGCAAGCACGAAAAAATAATCAACATCTCCGGAAAGATTTGTTTTCTAACACGACATTATTATTTGATGTGGATAACATATATTTATCGCCCAATCGTGTTTTCAAATAAAAGCGTATAAGTTTAAAAAAGTCAAGATAAAAATAAGGGTAAATAGGGGAAAGCACGAAAAACTAATCAACGTCTCTGAAAAGACATGTTTTCAAACACGACACCATTATTTGATGTGGATAAACATATATTTATTGGTCATCGTGTTTTGTAGCAAAATCTATACGTTTAAAAAGTCAAGGAAAATAAGGGTAAACAGGGTCAAGCACGAAAAAATAATCAACGTCTCTGAAAAGACTTGTTTTCGAACACGACACCATTATTTGATGTGGATAACATATATTTATCACCCCATCGTGTTTTGAATCAAAATCGTATACGTTTAAAAATGTCAAGTAAAATAAGGCTAAATAGGGGCAAGCACGAAAAAATAATCACCGTCCCGAGAAAGACTTTTTTTTCGAGCGCGACACCATTATTTGTTTGGATAACATATATTTATCGCCCCATCGTGTTTGGAAGCAAAATTGTATACGTTTAAAAAAGTCAAGAAAAATAAGGGTAAATAGAGGCAAGCACGAAAAAATAATCAACGTCTCCGGAAAGACTTTTTTCGAACACGGCACCATTATTTGATGTGGATAACATATATTTATCGCTCCATCGTGTTTTGAAGAAAAATTGTAAACGTTTAAAAAGTCAAGGAAAATAAGGGTAAATAGGGGCAAGCACGAAAAAATAATCTACATCTCCGGAAAGATTTGTTTTCTAACACGACATTATTATTTGATGTGTATAACA